CAGTGCTGCCAGTCTGTGTGCTGCCAGCCCACCTGCTGCAAGCCCAGCTGCTGCATTTCCAGCTGCTGCCACCCTTCTTGCTGTGGTTCTAGCAGCTGTGGCTCCAGCTGCTGCAGGCCAACCTGCTGCATCTCCAGCTGTTGCCGCCCAGTCTGCTGCCAGACTACCTGCTGCCGCCCCAGCTGCTGTGTGTCCAGTTGCTGCCGCCCAGTCTGCTGCCAAACCACCTGCTGCCGCCCCAGCTGCTGTGTGTCCAGTTGCTGCCGCCCCAGCTCTTGCCAAACCACCTGCTGCCGCCCAATCTGCTCTAGTGCTTCTTGCTGCTGAGCACTCTGACCTGAGTTCACCTGCTTTTCATCAACAATCTTCTTGTCGTCCACCTGTGAGCTGAATCATGTGCAGCCCACTGTGAAACCTCAGTGCCACTCATTCTTAGACTGAGTTTGGCCTCCAAATACACTGCCTCCCCATGTTACACTTTCTGTCTCCCATATGAACACAAACTATGAATTTCCTCTGAAATCTGCCAACTAACATGTCACCCCAATTACAATATTTGTTCCCTGCCAGCTTTTCTCCTGCCTCTTAAATAAATCATAACTTTCCAGTCATAGAAATAAAAGTGCATGGTGTCTCATTATTTTTCCTCCTTGAACTGTCATCTTCAGACATCAATTGTTCTGCTGGTTTTCTCTGCAGGAAGAGTCATTTGTAGTAGATGACTTCAGGGGTCCCACTTTTATTTGCTCAGTGCTCTCCATTCTGGTACAGAAAATGCTTTCTTATAGCAAGCAGCTGGGACTCTGCCTGAGGACTTTCGCTAGATGAAGGAGCTCTGGGCAGATCAATGTAGGACAGTTACAGCCTCAGAAGCAGTCCTGAACCAGTCGATGGGAGTTTGTGGATAAATGCTAGCTTCTCCTCCAGGGAGAAGCATGTTTTCCAGAAGGCTCAGTGGGAATGAGTCCTAGCTATGAACAGGAAAAAACAGCTCAGAACCAAGAGTTACCAGTTAATGTGTGTTGGAGAACTGTACTCCATGGGGTTCTCAGTGGCTCCTTTTTTTTTTTTTTTTTCCTTTTTCCCAAAGGCACGTCTGGGTAGACTCAAGTCTCCTACCTTTCAGCTAGTGAAACCCACTGCCATTGAGTTGATTCCAACTCACAGTGACTCCCAATGGGTATCCAAAGCTGTAACTCTTGATTGGAGTAGATTTCCTCGTCTTCCTCCCATGGAGCAGCAGCTGGTGGGGCTGAACCACCAACCACCAACCAGACATCTTCTTGTTAGCAGACATATGTCTTATCCACAATGCCATCAGAACTTCCTAGCTGAGTGCATTAGTCATTTATACCACTTAGGGATTCCAATCTGTTCTTTAATCCACTCTCAATTAGCTTCTTTCCCTACCTCCCTTTCCTGGATCACTTCCCAAATCTCCTACAGAGTTTTTTGGGATTATCTCCCAAGTAAACTTGTTCTCAAAACCCTGGTGCTTGATCTGCTCATACGGGAACCCAATCTAAGACACCAACATTGCAAGTTCAGTATCGGTACCCTTCACAATGTTTTCACACCGTATGAAAGGTCACCATGGTGTCACGGTCAGCTCATAATGAGTTGACTGTCCACTGAAATACTAAACCTTTTTAAACATTTTGCTATTAATTAATTTTCTTGCACAGCTGTTGATTTTTGACTCTTTAAGGAAAAAAAAACCCCAACATTGTCATCAACTCAACTCTAACTCATCATGACCTCCATTGGGTTTCCAAGGCTTTAAATGTTTACAGAAGCACACGGCCTCATCATTCTTCCATGGAGAAGCTAGTGGGTTCAAACTATGCACCTTTTGGTTAGCAGCCAAATGCCTTCACCACTATACCACAGAGCTCCTTGTTTTCAGACTAACAGTTCTCAATATATTTCTTCCACATCATTTTATATGAGGGGTTGAGTATACTTCCACAAGTAATGTGGCCCATCATGTTTTTAACTGTCATCCTAATGAAGGCTGTATTTAAGGGGTTATCAGCCTAAGCTGGGTGTCTTAAGTTGGGTTCCATAAGCAGAGCCTGAGACGAGGATTCTTGTGTAATGACTTATTCAGAGAGTGCAATGATTTATTCAGAGAGTGCTCTCAGAAGAAACTTGTAAGAAATGGAGGGGAGAATGATAGTAGAAGAGGCTAAGGCAAGATGTGGCTTGAGTTGAATTCTATCCTCAGCTGAGCCCATAAGCAGTTCTAGCATCTGATTGGTCCCTCCTGGAGGCAATATGACTGGGCCTCTTTACTCCCACATTATCATTAGCTGTGGGGCACCCCCAAAGAGGAAGGGGGAAAACCCTTGAGGTGAGGGGGCTCCTGTAGCTGAGGACAATTACCTGGACAATAGTGTTGAGGAACAATGTGAACCCCTAGCAGTCCACACTCACACTTGCTTGGGGAGGGGACACCTTTCTGACAAAAGGGATCTATCTGCATGGGATCTCATACGGTCAACTCCTGGCACTGTTCGGATGCACCTATTCTCTCGTTAAACTCACGCCAAGTTGTTTGTCAACATATGTAGAGAAATTTTTAAGAGGAGGGTTAGCTCTGCAAATATAGTGTATAACATAAAAACATAAGCAAATTAATGGGATACAAATACTGCAAAAGGTTTAGTCTTTAAATGGAGCTAATTAAGACTTTTTTGTTCTGTTGTACAAAGGGTTGCTATGAGTCAGAACTGACTCAACGGCACCTATCAACAACAACAAAAGACATTTAAAGACGTCATTGTAGGGTGACCAACTCATCTCTTTCTACCTGGGGCTTTCCTAATTTTAGCACTGACAGCCCCATGTTCTAGGAAGCCCCCCACCTCAATCCCAGCCAAACAGGGATGGTTGATCACTCTAACATGATATTGGTTGATACTAGTTAAAAGAAAGCCTTCATAATCCATTTGTACAATTCTCAATGAATAGTGATACATCATCAGCATTGATGATGCTCACAGACATACAACAAGCTAAAGACGCTTGACAGAAAAGAAATTATACTGTACACTCCCATTTGTTTGAAGTTCTAGATCAAACACAATTTTGTGAATAAAATGTTAGAATAGTGCTTGCTTCTATGGAGGTAGGGAGTTTACTGAAGTGACATGAGGGAAAATTCTGGTATAATGGGAATATTCTTTATCTTGACAGGTGTGGGGATTACATGCATGTATTTGTTTATCAAAACTCATCAAATAGGATACTGAGGATTTGTGCATTTAATGTATGTAAATTTTATCTGAATTGTGAAATCAATTCTAAAAGTAAATAAACAGTGACTAGAGGTGTCTATTTAGGAATAAAACTACATACTCTACCAAATTGTCATGTTCACTAATTTGCATTAAGTGTTTCTTTTTTTTTTGTATGTTCAGGGTTTTTTTTAGATTTTTCTTGTGATTTGGGTAAAAGTTTACAGAGCAAATTCATTTTCAATAGAGCAGTTGATACACATTTTGTTTCATGACATTGACTACAATTCCCCACAATGTACACAGTGTAACAGCTCTCTTCCCACTTCCTCCCTGCAGTTACTTCTACCCTTCCTTCCTTCCCACACAATCCTGTCCCCCAAGCTATCACCCTGTGCAAACACTGCCCTTCTGTTCTCCCACAACTGATTACTTGCTCCAAGGAGTGTATCCACCTGATGTAAATGTTCACCTCATACACCTGCCTATTGTTTGGCTGGAAGCTTCAGTTCCACACCTGAAGGGTCTCCCCAGGCTCTGGAAGACCAGAAAACCTGGTCTTTTTTTTTTTTTTTTATGATTTTGAGTTTTGTTCCACATTGTTCTCCCAGTCTATCCAGGATCTCCTGCACCAATCCCCCTTGGATTGATTTATAGTGGTAGCCTGGCACCATCCAGTCTCATGATCATATAGGCTGAAAATCACATAGTCTACTAGTCCGTTGGACTAATTGTTTCCATGCATCTTTGTTTTTCTTTATTCGTCTTTGCTCTGGATGAGGAGAGACTCATCATTGCATCTAGATGGTCGCTTGCAAGCTTTTAAGACCCTAGTCTCTACTCACCAAAGTAGGATGTAGAAAAATGTTTTTTGTATGGAATGCTATGCCAATTGAGCTTGATGTCCTCTGAGATCATGGTTGCAAGCCCACAGGTCTAACTATTTACTCCCACAGGGTAGCTGGCTATGGCAAAGAAGTCACCACCATTTTGTCCCTTGTCAGTTCTACTATAAACCCAATCTTTTTTTAAAAAAAATACATTTTATTGAAATATAATTTTGTTGTTGTTGTTATGTGCCGTCGAGTCGGCCCCGACTCATAGCGACCCCTCCTTGGGTTTCCGAGGCAGTATCACTACGGAAGTAGGATTGCC